TTCCTGTCAGGGAAACAGGCAGAAATAAAAATAAGAAGAAATAGAACTGTGCACATAGTGATAAATGTGATCAAAGTACAAAAGAAATAACATGGCTTTGTAAAGAGATATTGTGCCTCACAAATTTATTAAAGTTATTTTGAAGCAGTAACAAGACACACAGGCAAGAGATCTAATTGTAATGGTTGCACAGCTGATCTAGTCGATTCGAGTTTCCAAATAGCATTCAACAGGGTCCCTCATAATCTTTTAAAGAAACAAAGCTGCATGGAAAAAGAAAGGTCATCGTGTGACTCAGTGCCTGGTTAAAGGACAAGAAACTTGACAGTACGTTAGGAAGTAAGGAGATCATCAGCACACAAACCCACTAACTCTAACCTGAGAAGAATCATTGTATATATGGTTATTAACATCTTGTCTGAAACTGAGTATCAGAACAAGAGCCCTCCAAGCTTAAGAGATGTGGAAAAGCCTGACTCTCTATTTAAGAGCAGTACCAATAAATATTATCTATTAAGAAGAAAAATGTCTAAATAAACACTGATTAGTGGGTAACATTACCATTAATAATAATGAAGAGCCTTTATTTAAGAATATTATAATTTTTATTTATATATATACACACACATATATGCACATATATATGCACTATACATTTTTAATTTACTGGTTATTCCCAAAGATCTACCTAGAATTCTCCCCTTTAGGAGATGTGTCATGATTTAAATAGAATTTACAATACAGCCAGAGCTTTTGCAATATTGTCTGAAGCATCCTGAAGCATCATAAGCTGCTATGTGAAAATATTGCACAAATGAATAACCTTCAGCGTAAGTACACAAATCCTAATCATGCACCAGGATAACCGCTGGGTTAATCAAAACCACAGAGAAACAAAATGCTCTGAGTGCTAACAGTCAACTGTTGAATAGACTTAGCCATCTGACTCTTTAAGTTCCAAAATCCTGGTAGACTTCTGACCTGACTCCATATTTCTGGTCTATCTTGTCTCCCGTGAGACTGGCTTTCCTCATACAGACCTCCTTGCATTTTCCAATGCATAAGTATGCCAAAACATAGCACACTGATGATTAGCTAACATCAGTTCTTTGCTGAAAGTTTAGATCAATTCTCACCTCCTTTCTAGAGGACTCAGACAACAGCTGACTACCATTCTCATAGCAGCACTTTCCAAAATATTTAAAAAGGGTTATGTTCCTTCTTCCATCTCCTCTCTTTTCTACAGAGAAAAGACCAAGGATTCCTGCTTTCCTAATAGATCTCATTTTCCAAAATTCTTGTGATCTTTCTTTCTCTTTCTTCTACACTAGTTTGTCTAAAAGAAAAAAAAAAAAAGAAAGAAAAGTTCCTTTTGGCAGATCTCATGCTGATATTTACAGCATCTTCACAGATGCAATAAAGCACCTCTATCTACCTCTTTGCAAAAGAAAGGGCTTAACTTGGGTGTTTTGGGTGAAAAAGAAGGTATGCCTTTATTCTCCTCAACATCTCTTGGAATTATCTCCAATCAGTGATCTTCTAAGCTAATTTAAGTTTCATCACTACACTCATTTAAGAGGGATTTAATCTGATCTTTCAGGGAAAGAATCTCCTACACATAAGAATCCAGCTACTGTACACAGAGATTCCAGTTGCAGCACTGATGTAGGTGCTAGCCATGGACTGAAAGATGAAGCTCAGCAGAAGCAGCAGCATAAAAGGGGATAGTGGCAAAGGAGACTTAAATGCCAAAATCAGGGTGAGGCAGGAGATGGCCAAATGAAATTGGTAACCTTCAGGGACACTTGAATGTAGGGTAATAAAGACACCAAAAAGAATATAGAATTAAGTCCTTCCATGAAATCTTTATCTGTGGTGAAATAAAGTAGTTTGGACTTCTATGAAATGGTGAAAAAATCTTCCACAAGTTAATCAAAAGGGTCTCTTGGTTCCACAGGAGTATGAAGATGAAGAAACTACAGACAATTATGAAATCCTCTCAAAACAATGAGAAACAGACAGACATGTGGTAACTGACATTACATTTGGGGGGGGGGGTTAAATGTAAGAATTTTCTGTCGCTCCTTTTAAAACTGTGTTATTAAAAAAGTGCTGTTTCAAATGCTAAAAAGGAAAAAAAATGGCATAGAACAGGAACAAAATAATATTAAAAATAAATGTTAAATTGAAAGTAAAATATCACCTACGGTAAGCTATTTTTTCAGGTTTAATTCAATCCTCTAGTTTTATTAGAAAAAGTCAACATAAAATATGTGATATTATTTAATGAAGCAGAAAAGTTTTTGTAAGTACTTGCTGTTACAAATCATTAGGAATATACAACCTTTAATGCATCAGTTGGATGGTAACTAATACTGTGTGAAAGGATGTCACATTAGGATTTATTTACTGCTAGTGCATAGTACAGAAAAGGTGCTTAGTGTCACAAATTTAGACAGACTCCATTAAACAGAAGGCAGCATATTTACATAAAAATAAGGATCTGCTTCAGCGCTTCAGTCAGGAGATCAAATTATTCATACCACACGTAAGCCACAAACAGTTGTAAGTATATAAAATGTTTTATTGACAAATTAACAGAAAAGTTTTGATTAAAAATCGTTACTTCAAAAGGGGAGAACGTGCTACTTACAATATAGCTAAAGGAAATAAAGACAACACTAACTTAATTAAAATGCTAATAAAAAAAAAGACAGAATTGTAGCTCCAACATCACCAGGAAAAATAAAGTGCATCCATGTCAAAGCTCTTCTGCTAGTAAAAATGATTAACAAATTAAAAAATAAGTATATGCTATCTTGTGTCATCTTGCCCCCATAATTTCTTATTGTTATTTTACAGCTTATAAAGCTACTTGTAAATAAGAAACTTGAATAGCTGGACACCATCATTTAAAGTGAAAAGATGTCTTTCATGACTTAATGAAAGTCCTGATTCAGACTTAACTATTCTCAACATACTTTCCATAGTAAATCTGGTGATTCAGTTCAAAGTATGCTAACTGCAAACATCTGGGGCAGGGGGACAGTCAACCACATGGTGATCTGGATTTACTTTAAAAAAAGTATACTCCAGTATACTCCTATGAAAATTGAACATAAAAATATTAGTCATGAAGCAAAACTCACACACCATTAAAGCTATGACATATTTAATGACATTTACAGGATTTACAGTTCTTTTTCACAATGTAAAATAAAGAATTCACCCCAATGCTAAGGGTCATCAGAATGACTTCTCCTCACTAAATGTGAAACACTCAAAAAGCACATACACTGTACACATGTGACTTAGACTGGGCTTCCATATAATCTTTGGCTTTTCTTAAAGTAAATAAAATATTCAAGGTAGCAGCTTTAACATTTCAAAAACATAAATCACTTTCCTAAGAGAGCATACTAGTCAATGTAACTTAAACCTGTTCCGCTCTACTTTTAAAAAAAAAAAAAACACACACCTGATTCTACAAACTGAGCAACAGAGATGCATTTTATTCCAAAAAATATGGAACAAACACAAGGGTGCTGCCTCAGCAGAACTGGAGCCTTAATGAAAAATTCATTTAGAAAACTGAAATAAACTAGGGATCAAAATACTAAAATTGCAGCCAGAAAGAAAAGTGAAAAAACGAAAATGACTCTCCGTAATGGTTGATACAAATAAGCAAAGAGGTTGCAAATACTGTTCATGGTAGGTAATGTATTCTTTATGAAGGTTTAATATATGGTTTGGCTAATGAAACACCATCTTCATAATTTGAACTACTTAATGTGGGCTTAGAAAAGATTTTTTCAGCTAAATCCTATGTCCTAGTATTTCAGGTAACCATGTCATAGAAATATCGTCATAAACTGATGAAGTTCCATCTAAAAAATAACTGAATTTCCTTTCCCTGTTACTGGAAGGCTGTTCCAAAACTCATTTTTTCAGTGCTTAAAGGCTTTCTTAAATTTTCAAACTAAATCTAAACTCTGCTAATGTATAGTTGTGATCTCTTGCTTTAGTACAAAATTCAGCTTACAGACTTCACTTCTTGCTCTGTTCTTTACCCAACGGTGTGTACACATAGCAACCATATCCCTCGTCAGACTTATCTGCTAGTCCAAATAGGACCTGCACTTCACTACAAGAGGCTTACGAATTCTCTATTTCCTGCACCAGTTCCCATTCAGATTAAGTCTTTCCAGAATTCAAGGAATTAAAACTGCATACATAATACACAAGATGTTGCCAGTGTCTTGTACGAAATAAATACTTGCTTTTCTCTCTTCAACCTGCTTTGTCTGATATAACCTAGGACAGGATTTTTCTTTTTCAAGGGTACAATGCACTGGCAGTCTATAACCTTTCTGTGAGGACATAGCACCTTCAAATCCTTTCACACCTGTATCTCTTCAAATTGATTAGCTTCCATCTTATAAACAGGAATTCTTATTTTTAGTCCTTTTGTGTTATTCCATTTCCTCCCATTTTACTACTCCAGTCCCCCTAAGTAAAACAACTCTCCTTACTTATTATCCTGACCCTCATCCTAACACTTCTCCACTTTATGAACTCATTTTCATTAGTACGCATTATCTTTTTTTGACATTGTCACTACTGAAAATACCTAAGATGAATAATATGTAATCCATGAGGAAGAGCACTAATAGCTTCTCCTCCAATCCAATAGCCTTCCTTGCAGCACATATCATCACATCATCCTTTCAGAGACTTCCTTTTCTAATTTACGATTCTTCTTTTCATCCACATCTTCTCTAACTCAACATAAAATTTTCTATGTACCAGAAAAATGCTTGCAGGAAGTCAACATATATAGTAAAGATTTACACTTCTTTAGGAAATTCCCTTTCCTCATCAAAACAGTTAACAAGTTAGACTAAAGCAATCTAGGTCAAACAATCTTTGGCAAACCTGTGTTGCATTTATCTCATTCTCCATTTAGGTTCACTTTGTTAATTAATACCTTTTTCAAAATTTGTCCCCATGCTTTGCATACTATTGTGATCAAGCTACCAGCTATATAGCCTCACAAGTATGGAGCACAAAAATAAAGGAAGTACGCCTGTAACTTGGATTAACTTTATCAAAACGTATCCCACAATCCCCTTGGACCGGCATAAAAGGATTGTAATATTAGGAATCAGCCATTCAAATATAAGAGCATCACCATGAAACGCTGGAGGATATCAGACTGTCTATTAAACTATAAAGCTCAGCAACGATGTGAACTTTCCATACTTAAAAAGATAAACGTCATCATTGCAAGTGGCATAATGACCACATTTTTAGAGACTGTAAATTACTGCTTCTGGTACCAATCTGAAAACTCATGGTAGAAGTCTTGAACGGTACACAAATCCTGGTTCAAGATTACAGAATCACATGAGAATACACCTGGAATACACTAACAGGCAGCCTTCTGATCCATTCCCTAGCACCAAAGTAGGATCAGCCAAACCTCTGTCACCCTTGGTAAATATGAAGTTACTCTTAAAGACTTTCAGTGATGGAGATAGCAGAACTGCTGCTGACAATCTATTCAAATGCTTCTCCATCTATCTTCTGTAAAGAAAAAATTCTTAATGTCTAACCTGGATATTTCTCCCAGAAGATTTAATGGAATCGTAAGTATCTGCCTATGAAGAAAAAGAGACAAAAAGAAAAACAATCTTCAGTCGTTTAAAACAGTGTAACAAAGAGCCACCCCTCTTTATGGAGCCATAGCTATAACAATATACTTGAAGGAAAGAAAAAGTCATCCAAAAAACCACACCTCCCTTTCTAGCCACAATTAATCTCAGAAGAGCAAGCTACATAAGGAATAAAGATGATCATTAAAGAAAATTTAATTAGTTAAAAATAATGTAAGGTTTTTACAGATGGAATGGAGAATTATTAAAGACACTAACACAAAAAAATATGCACCTGCAATCATTTGGAAAAGATCAAAACAAGGCAGCAGGGTTAACAGAGCAAGAAACATTATTAGAGGGAAAAAAAAGAGTCTAAACAAAAAAAAAAAAACAAAGAACAAACTGAATATAAAAACCACAATGAGGCAAAGAAAAAAAGATTTCAGCAAGACTATGGCTAAAAGGCATCAAAACTGATGAGAAAGCCTTTTCCAAATGCATCAGAAGTATTATATTAGACAGAGCTGCTCTGTTCTCACTTCAGTGGAAGCCAAGAGAAGTCCCCATATCCAGAGTCATTCTTCTAATGGGACAGCATCTGAAGAACTGCCTCCAAGTAAAGGTCAGTATAAGATATTTTAGAATAGGTATTTGCAATAGTAATAAATATGAAGCTGCAGAGCCATGAATTACGGTTCGTGGCTTACACATGAATTATGTGTAATTATTCAAACATATCACAAATTATGATGTATAACTTATTTTTTATATGAGCAGGTAATTACAGTAAGAAATACCTGCTCAGCTCTCAAATAGACTGCACCATGCAAAGAGTTCCCCCACATTCTAATTCATCATCTTCATTTGAAACGCAGAAAGAGTGAATTTAAAAAAAGGTATAGATGCCTAATTTGGGGTTGGGGGGGTGGGCTAACATAGCTTTATTTTAATTTTCTTTTATGGTACGGCTAACTCTATTTGATATTCATTCTTTTTAATTTTATATTCATCTATTTCTCACTTTAAGACATAGGTTTCTTCATTGACCACTTCCTTTCCCCTCCTGCCCATGTTTTGTTAAGCTCTGGACTCACTTCTGACATTCTTACTGAGGATTGTATTAATCTAATATATCCACAGCTTACCCTTAAAGGATTTTTCTCTTGGCTAGGATGAAAATTCACAATGGATGTGGGGAGACTTAACATTTCATAAGTCAGTTAAAGATGTAATTCCATCAGCTTTTATAATAAAGGTCAAGAATTAAGTTTTCATAATTTATTAGTTTGTGTTTTAAGTCTAAATACCATTATTATTATAGGGTTTTTTTAATTCTTTTATTTAACTTCAAGTCAACTTTCTACTTTGAGAGACTTTCTACAGCTACTTCTCAATTACTCACTACTTACTAGAAGGGAATCTAAAAAGAATACAGCCAACAAATGAAGGAAAGACGTTCTGAAAGACATTCTGGTAAAGAAGTCTGACAAACATCACGCTCAGAAATAGCTAGACACTACAACTTAATGTCTTACAATAGTCAAAACTTGTACAAGGAAGAAAATCTCCAACAAATAGCAATGTACATTTATTACTTGCTAGAGTAAGGTACATGTATGCAGAGGAGCCAGATCATTCATGGCTACAAATTTCAAAGTACCAAGCAAATTTTTTCTAGTTAACTTTTTAAACCGTAGGGATGAACTAATGTAAAATGAAACCAAGATGGATAAAGAGAACAGAACGGATGTGCAGGATAGTGTGTCTTGTCACAGAAGGGAGAGACTATGGCTCCAGCTCTTCAAGGATTATATGCTACTTCATTTATGCACACTTGCTGCTCAGCTGAAGCTACTGAAGTCTACTCAGTTACTAAACTTATGCATATACCTTTTTGAAATTGCAACACCAGGCAGAGTAGGGAAGAAAAATCTCAAGACAGCAAGGAAAGCAGAGACGCATATTAAATACTACTAAATTGGCTTTAAACAGTTACATGGGCTTTTGAAAAAGAACTTAATTTTCCGTTGGCACTTTATTCAAAGACATTAAAATCATTATTTCATGTTTTGATTTACAACTGTGATGAGACCACCTCTTTAAAAAGCTGTTCCAGGCTAAGAGTTGGCATTAATTAACCAGATGCTCATTAGAATAGCACATCAGAGTAAAAATATTTTAGCATTAGTTTATAACATCTGGTTATTATACATTTATTTATGAGTTCTAGCCTATCTTTGAGAAAGATCTCCTGGTGTCTTGTCTTTCTAGAAAGTTTAAAAAAAAGTACCGTTTAATAATTGTTTAATATCTTTAAAACAATGTTTAAATGAACATCATACTTTTTTACCCCCAGTGTAAAGGACAAGAAATTAAATTCTTTCAACTCCAGAAAAGATTTTATCGATGACTTATTCCTAATTCTAGCATTCATCTACACTAATCCCAGGAAACTTTACCCAATTTGGTTCCAAACTTTTCAAAGTATTGATAAGAAAGAGTTTAAAAAGTGTTTCACTCATCCATAACTTTTTAATTTCCTTTATTAATAAACAGATACTATATAGAGTTTATATCATTATTTCCTTCAATCAGGGAGTAGATCCTATTCACAGAACCTTTATTATAATCACCTTATTCCAAAACTACACAAATTCAGTGCCTCCGGTTTTCTATACAAGTTCACTATTTCAGCCGTGTAATTGTACTCACCTACTCATGAAAATCATCTACTCCCTGCCTTTTGTGGAACGAGGAGGTAAACTGTGTAGGATTCTACATGCATATTTAAGTACTGTATGATGTTACTTCTTCCTTTTTCTTCTTAACTTTTATTCATGTTTCACAAGGGCATAATCAAACATAACAACGAACTATTACCTCACTTGTTATTTACTCCTACATCCACATCGTGATCTTTACTATTGTTTCCATAAAAGCCTAATTTTGTATCTGTATAGATTGCTGTGAGCAATCTGTGTGATTTTCTCTTGGTATATTCCTTTATAATTTCGCATGATAGCAGATTACTCTCAAATTAAACATTCTCTTTACAGAATTGATCATCCTTTTGAATTCCATTGTAAGTGAAGATGTATTCAATACCAAAGCCTTCAAATACTATAATTTCGAATCTTCATCACAGGAAATATCCTAGCAGGAGGAGGTGGTTCTCAGGAGACTTCCTTAACTATATGAAAGCTACAGGCCCACTCAGTTTACTCAGTTAGAAAACAAAATCACAAGCAGCAAGAACAAAGTTAGGAGAAAGGTACAACGTGATTTATCCTTACTGAAATTTGGTTAGAGAGATTCTGCCACTGAAGTATAGAAGCTTGATGAGTTTTCAGACTTCCATAGCTTACCAAGGAAGTAAGCTACCAAAAATGGAGGTGTTAAAGCAACAGTCTGCTAGAGCCTAAAAGCAAGATCATCAGCTTTAGAGCAGTCTAAAGATTCATATGGAAACACCAGCAAAATTCGTAGTAGTATAACGCAGTCAAGAAATACAAATACCAGAGGATCCTGGTATTTTTTCTGAGTTTCTATTACGTAGTCTAAAAGGCCCAGATGACCAACACATCGATTACTTTCAATTTAAGTGCATAAAATTTTATAGCTGGAAACAACCTTCCCTGAACTTCAAAAAGAAAAGAAAAAAGAAAAAAAAACTTCAGAAAGGAAGGCAAAAGAAAAAAATAAACAAACATTCAAAATGTCCCATAAGCAATCTTCTTGTGCTAGATTTCAGTTCTTCTGTTAGGAAGACAATACTTACAGTTCGTTCCTACAGTAAGCAGCTTCAAACAGAGGTAAGTTTAGCTCTGTATAAACAATTTTATCCTACAGTCACAGACAGGAATTACTGATGCAATTTGGTTTAAAATAAACCAAAGTAAAACAAAAGATGAACATATGTGTATTATAAACAGAGTTGATTAACAGCTCTAAAGTCTCAGTATTTGTGAGCCAAAGAGCATCAACAGATTCCCTAAAATGATTGATGATTAACGAAGATACGACAAAAGTGTGCCCAAACTTACTTCTACTGTTCTTTTAAAGTTATAAGCAAAGGGTATAGCAGTCAAAATAAACTGAAGAGAAGAAAAACAGTAAGCTTAATTTCCTAACTTTCCTGGCAAGCCTAAGTTCAATCAGAATCCTGCTTTACAGGAAAGTAACTGAGGAATATACGCATTTCTCTTCTTTTCTATAAGCCTCTTCATCAACCAGCAATCTCTTAACTACCACAAATGTTAGAATCATTATCCAGCATAATAATCCTGGTACCATTACCGAACAAGGTCTTTACTCTTACACCCTAGCAGAGTTTCTGAGATTACATTATCTTCTTGCTGTCCACAGTGGCAAACATTTATCTAGGTCTTGATCAAACTGCATCGAAATTACCATATTTTTCTCTTTGGCATTGGTAGCTGCCCATACTTCCCTCATCCACACTCAAAGAAACTGGTAAATATATATTTATGGTTTTACATTATATCTTTATAACCTCCTATTTTCGAACACCTCCGTAAGCTCCCTACAAGCTTCTAGTTCCACAAGCCAAGAGCAAGATTGTTTCGTCATATCTCAGGCTCTCAAGGAAACTACTCATTATCTACTAGCTGCTTTAAGAAGTTACTGATATTCACAGGGACATATTTTTTACTTTCTCTTGCCCTTCACTGATCACAAGTGCTTTTGCTTCTACAGGTACCTGTGACATCTTCCTGGACTGCCAAACTGACTAAATCATACTCCCTTTCAAAGTTCTGTCATGGCAATTAGAAATCAGTGTTTCAAGGCAGTGGCCTGGCAGATGGTAAACCATGACTAAGCATTACTTTACTGAAACATGCTTTAGTATCTCATCCCCTTCTCTGCATCTTCTCTGCATGTTCAAATAAACAATCTTCTACTTCTCCCTTTCCCATGGTAGCTTATTGTATGCAACTTGTTAAATTGGATGAACTTTGTATCTAATACATCACCGCCAGAAAATGTTCATATAAGATCTGTCCTACATCCATTAGAAAAAATACGATAACAAAAAATAGTTTTGAAGGTTTCTTTTGTAGCCATGAAAATAAATGATAGGTTTTTTTGTTGTTGTTTGTCATTATTATGACATTATTGTAATTATTTGTTATTATATCATGAATGTAGGCATTCAATATGAAATTCTATCCTCTCAAGCAGCAGCTAATAGAACTGCATGCTTGCGAAAACCTTTACCGTAACTACATCCAGATGTTTTGTAAGATCCTAGACCTGAGGCAACAAAAAGGGGTTTGTGTAGACAGCTAGTGTATGTACCACAGCAAAACATGTGATTTCCTAACAGAAAAAGGATTAGCTAGCTTTTCTATGAATGCCTTAAAATTAAGTTAGGGATATCATTAGTACAACAGCCTTCAGAGCTGTTTTCTGTAATTCATTAAAGGTCTGTATCAATTTACTGTAAAAGCTGAATATCACTACTATATCAATAACAACTAGCTTACATCTACTTGGTAAAATAACAAGAACCAAACTGAAGGTGAATGCAGGTAAAACTGAGGTGATCCTAAGTAATAGCTTGGGAACTTTCCTCATCTTCCCATGGACTGTTATGAGATTCGGAATCAATCCCATGTTGCACTTCAGTATCTGAGCAAAACTGATGGAAAACTACACCCTTCCACCTGTGACATGGGAAGTGCTATTCCATATATTTTCTGCTCATAACTGGATTTTTGGATTGTGATTCACCTTGGGGATCTTTATAGATTGGGAATTCCTTGTCAGCAAGCTCTCTTGAAAAATCTTTCTTGTCTATATGTATATATATATATATTGGACATTTGAATAATGTCCATATTTGCCTTTTTAAATTCTTTGCAAAAAAATCTATAGCAGTTTCAAAATTTAACATTCTAATTACTCCAAAATAAAGACTTCCGAAAATACCCTGCAAGAGTGTTAGAAGTTATCTGTATAGGTTTCAAAACAGAGTGGTTTTACTCAGTCTAACCAATAGCTTCTTCCTGGAGATTCCCATCATTTCTAACATGTGTGACATTAATTTCAGTTACCTGATAAAGAATGAAAAGTTAAATTAAATGAAATGTCATTTATTTGGTTGATGAACCAGATGGCTGTGCTCTCATTCAGAGGAACCTTGACAGGCTGCAGAAATGGGCTGATAGGAACCTCATGAGGTTCAACAAAGGGAAAGGTTATTCCTCCTGGGGAGGAATAACCCCATGCACCAGTACAGGCTGGGGATTGAATGGAGGTGAAGCAGCTTTGCAGAGAAGGACCTGAGGGTTCTGGTGGACAGCAAGCTGACCAGGAGCCAGCAACATGCTCTTGTGGCAAAGAGCACCAACAGCTTCCTGGGCTGCATTAGGAAGAGGGTTGCCAGCAGGTTGAGGGCGGTGATCCTTCCCCTCTACTCAGCACTGGTGAAATACAATCTGGAGTGTCGTATCCAGTGCTGAGCTCTGCATTGCAACAAAGACGTGAGCATACTGGAGTAAGCCCAAAGTCCAGCATGACAATTAAGGGACTGGAGCATCTGACATACAGGGAAAGGCTGAGAGAACTGGGACTTTTCAGCCTGGAGAAGAGAAGGCTTGGCAGGATCTTATCAACGTGTCCAAATATCTGATGCGAGGGAGCAAAGATGATGAATCCAGACTCTTCTCAGTGGCGCCTAGTGACAACATGAGAAGCACCGCGCACAAACTGAAATACTGAAAATTCCATTTAAACGTAAGGGGGGAAAAAAAAACCCTCTGCCCCACACTGTGAGGGTGGTCTAATGCTGGAACAGGCTGATTAAAAGGGTTGTGGAGTCTCCGCCCTTGGAGATCTTTAAAATCTGACTGTACATGGTCCTGAGCAACCTGCTCTAGTTAATCCTGTTTTGAGCAAGAGAGTTGGACTGGAAGATCTCCAGAGGTCCCTGCCAGTCGTAGCTGTTCTGCGATTCTGTGAAATAACAGAACTCACCAGGAATTTAATGTAATCAACATTCTTACGACTTTTGATGTGAAAAAAATAATTTTTAAGATGCCTAACATGCAAATGTACATTGTGTATTATCTTTCACATGAACAGTTTCAAATTTTTAAAATATTGTATCTTGAACAGTATTTCTGAAAAACAACTTACCTTTGCTGTAACAGTAGGAAATAAACACAACTGCATCTTAGGCTTTGCGATAAACAAGTAATTCCACTACAACACCAGCAGCCACTGAAATAACTGTTGAGAAGAAGAAAAGGAGGAAAGAAGAAGTAAAACTCTCGGGTTTCAGATTTAAAAAACAGTATTCTATTCCACATTCCATAAAAACATTTTCCTTTCAACTTCCCCTTGTATTGTAACATTGAGAAAGAACCTAATTTTTGATCTTAAAATATTATACTTCCTAGTTTTTATTTAACTAATTATGGATTTTCCACACAGATCTGTTAGACTTACATTAGACCCAATGTGATCTAGCAATCCAAGAATGAAAGAAAGAACCGTTTTACGGTCTGTATTGATTTACTGAGTAACTCAGACAAGACAGTCTCACTAGGCCCCAGTTTCTCTTGCTGATATTTGTCAATCACGAAACGATGCTTGAAGCCAAACCCATTGATGCTGACAGGCACTGTTAAACCCTTAGCTGAAAAATGTTATAAATTTTGAATGAAAAATATAAATCTGTTTAATCAATTAAACTGCTTCTGCTGCCTAACAGTTTGACCAAACAGTTATGTTTCCCCATTTCTAAGCATTACTCACTGTTCAAAATACCAGACAAAACTACTAGTGTGAAGAATGTAAGAAAAAATTTAAAAATTTACCTTTAAACACTTTTTTAGTAAAATATATATATATATATATTCATGTATATTACATTTTATAAAAAAATATGTTAAGGAAACACTGTAAAGACGGTTTTTGTTCTTGTTTTGTTTTTTTAAATCAAGCTCATCTTCTATTACATAATAAAAATAAAGGCCACCAGAATAATCATAAAATAACTTAAAAGAAAATCACAGAACTAGAGATAGGGAGAAAACAAAATACAAATAAATTTAATAGCCCTTTAAAAGAATATCACAATAGGAGAATAAAACTCCCAATATTTCAAGAAAATTCTTGCTGTCAGGGAAAACAACAGAAGCTTTTTCAAAACTTCCTTAACCTAGAAACTAAATTCAGCTCTTTAGCTCTTATAAGAAAATTCTTCTTTATTCATTTTAAGATTTATTAGAGACAGCACATACATTGCTCCAAGACCTGTCTTTTGTGAATTCCAGTAACACATTTAAAAAAGTAAGTAGCAACATACGTTTTCAAAATGTCATCTATTCTTTTTTGACAGACAGCATAGAGGGTTGGGGAGAAGGATTCCACCTTCTTGTTCACAATCATTTTATGCTCCTTTAAGATGACTGGGTCATGCAGGACCTCCTGAGAGTCTGCATTTCTTGGTGATATACTGACCATGCTCAGGCAATAATGGTTCAGGAAACTGTAGGGTATGGCAGCTGAAAATAATGCAATACAGGAGCTTGCAGTCTAAGCAAACAGACAGGAGTAAGGTGCAGGGAGACAATTACTTGACCTTAGGCATGACAGGAAAAAAATTCCAGTAGATCAGAGGGCACTGTGCAATTCGCAGCTTAAAGTCACCGAGTTAACTGCAACCAAGCCTGGAAGCAACAGCCAGCCCACAATGACAATGCAGGTGGGTTTTTTTCTTTTTAAAAAAAAAAAAAAAAAACTTTTCCATCTTCCCTATTCGCTGACTTATTAAGTCAGTGAATCTTCACTTCTTTAATTAAAAAGCTTTTGGTCTTCTTTAAGGAGCTAATAACTATAAGGAGAAAGCCTAGGCAGAATCACATCAAAATTGTGGCCAACTCAGGACCCCATGCCACATAAACACCTAGTGGTTTAGTTATCACAATAGCAGTGGTTCAGAGAGATCCATACCCAACACTATTTGGGTTTCTTCAGTTGAAAGTATATATAGAACAGCAAGCTTAGAACAGTTCAAAAGAAGTTAAGAACTATCAAAACTGAAAAATTATTTCAAACTAGATAAAAGACTTGCATCAACAATCAAAACAAATACTGTTTGAGAACACTATACACCCTTCGTTGTTTTAGGTACTGTAATAAAAACAAGTGCTCAAATGCAGTATGTTACAGAAGTTATAAGAGTTCAAAAAAAATAATTTCTTAATATTGTTTTTTCATGCAAGCAACTATTGCAGCTTCAACAGACAATTTATGCAACTTTAAACAAAACAAGGAATTTTATTTTGAAAGGAAAAGGGAAACGCACTTCACTTTTCAAATACATTTGAGGTTCTCTATCAGTCAGATGAAAAGTAACTGCTGATTTTCATTTCAGACTGATAAATGAGTGAACTGCAAAAACAATATGCTCTTCCACAGGAATGATATATAAGGATTCATTTTAGTAAGCAGTAGATACAGCAGTCTTCAGTTCTATAATCCCTCTTAACTATTAAAATAATACATTAACCAGAAACACAACCAGGTGAAAAGTGACCTTTGTCTTATCTGAACTAACCAAAAGTCTTTGGAAGATAAAACACATCTCACCAAATGAGCAGGACAATTATGTAAGGTTTATTTTTTCTTGTTTGCTTACTGAATTGACTCCATACAACTCTACCTTAGTATAGTCACAGTCAAGAATGAATTCTTATACTTAACTATCAAGCACCATCTTCCTCCAGTCATAAATGAATAATCTATTGAAAGCCTTTGCAAAAACCTGACTCCAAAAGAAAATAGGAAGAATAAGTGTAAATCTGTGGAAGCAATTTAGTAAAAGAATAAATTACAGAAGTCAACAGATTTTAATTTATGTTAAGAAAGAAAGGATTTCTGATAATGAATTGCCTGCAAACAGAAACATGGCAAAATTCATTGACTAGAAGCTTAACCTAGATAAATTCAGGTCACAAAGAAGAGGAAAGGAGCTCCTAAACCCATAAGTCTGTAACAGCTACAGGAATCAGCTGTAGAAATCAATAATTTAAGGAGGTAGTGGTTTCTCTGTCACTTATTTCTTTAAATCAAAGCACTAAAAATGCTTACAAAAACCTTATCAGGAAAAAAAAAAAAAAGGGGAGAGGGGGTTCTTTGGCCTGTGCAAGTCAGGTGAGATTGGATGAACAGAAATGACTCATCCATTTCTTAGCGGAACTTAGAACTAATAACATTCTTAACAGAGAACAGAACCTAATGTTCACAACTGTATGAGATATTTCTGGAGACAGTAAACCTCTAGAAAGCATATCAACTGACCTTCTTTTTTTCAACTTGACAGACTAAGAGAAAAATCTTAAGATGATCAATAGCCAGAGGTGACATGCTACATATTTTGAAAAGTTACAGGGATGGGAAGCATCCATGAATGAGGCTCAGTGGAGCCTCTTGCTGGATCTAACTGCTGCTGGTTTACTTCTTCCAGCATCTAAGGATTTATACAAAACAACAGTCCCTGCGTCAGCATGATCCATTATTGATCACAAGAAGTACTCCTGATACATGAGTTGCACTTAAGCTGCATATAAACTGCAGGTTGACCATCACTTCTCTAAAATAGGCCCTAAGCACTCTAGCATGACCCAGTTAAATGTATGTGCAAACACTTACAGAGCTTTCTAATCTTTCAGACAACATTTTAGCCACAATGGCCTAACGTTTGATTTTTTTTCCCCCCCCTCCAAAGGCCACAAAAACCCTACCTGATTTTAAAAGTAATCTAATCCTCTCCAAATTTTGTCTGATATTTCTCTTTATATGAAGCTGAACTCACATTGATTAGAAGATTAAAGAAGAAAACAATAGACTTTGTTATCACTCAGAACACACAACAGTAGATAACATCTTTTGTAATACATGTGGTTCAACAGACATGAAATGTAAGTAGTGAGATTTTTCCCCCCAAAACTTGTTACTTTATTCCATACTTTCGCATTAGAACGCAAACTTGTCACAATCAGACATATGAATACCAAACTACAGCTGCCTCTTCTAGTTTCCATCATTAATTGAAACATTAGTTCCAAGAGCTGAAAAAAAATATATACATGAAGCAAACCATTACATATGCTATCAGCACTATTTAATACAGTAAGAAAAGACACATCAAGAGACAAAAGCATATGTAAGAGTCCTTAACCAGCAGCATAAGAAGCTTTGTGTGAACTACACAGAACATACAATGCAGTAAGTTGCATAGAATCATTAACTTCATCTTATAGCCTTCACAACTAGCGATGGAAGTGAAGCTGCACAAAACTGTAGAAGAACACAGAAGAATGGAACAGGAAATAAGTTTAGTGGAAAAGTCTAAGAAAAAGAATTATAGCAGCAAATGTGTATACAGGGCTACCAAGGCAGATGAAAACTATACAGTGCTTGGAGGTACTGATGGAGGTGGGTAGGTTCACAAGCGTCACAGTTTGACTGATCACACCTAAGCCAGGGGGAAGACATAACAAATCAATTTATTCAACCATAATAGTTCGTGGGTCTCAGTATAGGTGTTATGGTTGGTGACAAACAGATTTTCAATAACATGCAATAGTACAACAACAAGGAAATCAACAATAACAAGTGATAGTTTGTCATTATAATAGGTCAATTGATTAATTGATTTACAAGGAGCTCCAAACAAACACATCAGGCAATCTCTGAAGATCAAACCCAGATTACAAAACTTGTTGTGGAAGAAGTAAAGAGCAGGTAAATAAACATCAGAGAAAACAGAGAAGTGGTTTGAGGGGCAGGGGGAAGGCAAGTTAGAAATTCTGGATAGTGGATTAGGGATCCCAGATGTCAGTACTGTCAAGCCACACTGGATATGCATGCTCTCCCATGGGTACAAGACCCTTGGATTAACAAGAGTTATGGGGATTGATTCTTGGATAACCCTTCAAAGTCAACCAATACACTCACATGGTCTCCAGAAGCAGGGACCACTCACCCAGGGGGCAGGGGAGGATAGGCACAGTGGTAGGATCCTAAATGTTCTTGATCCAGCATCCCAGACCAAGGGGGCGAGTCCTGGAGCAGAACAAGTCCATTGTCCTCCCAGTCTGCAGTCCAGCTGCTTCAGGTCAGATGCTCTTCAGCTGGTCTTGCTCAGCAAGTGACTTCAGCTCTTCACCCAGCCAACAACTCTGCTGCCTCTCTTCTTCCCATCCAACTCCAAGGTAGCA